CCCCCTCGGATCTTCGAATAATTCTTTTAAATATACACCCCTTGAATAATAATTATATTTTTATTGTAAAAATATAAATTCTACTATCACATTGATTTAGGCCGGCCTACATTGTTTGCATAAAACGCATTGGGTCCACTAGACAGGCTGGTGCGAGTAAATGCGTATGCGGTTACACGGTAAAAACTTGTACTGGTTCGGATCATTCAACCATTGGACTCATGTGCTCTACTTTGTTGATAGTAGTTACCCTCAATAAGAGTTCTATTTATAGAAATCGAGATTTTATATAATAATATTTTTATCAGGTTGAATGGTTGCAGAACCATTTGTTTTCCCACACTGCCTGGTATCAGTTCCAGGATCTAGTTGATATTCTTATATCTTGGCTCAGTAAGGTAATTCAAGATGGATTTCTTGAGTATTGGTTGTGATGATTTGATTTATTGATTAATTTATTTATTTATTTTTATATAATGTTTAGCATACTGATTGATTGATTGATTAATTGAATTAATTTATATATTTATTGATACGTACACACATACTATTTAGTAAGTAAGTAATTATTTATTTATGAAATATAACAAAAACATACAAAATTAAAATTATACAGGAGAAAATATTTTAACACCTCCAAATATAAAGGTTGTTGGAATATTTCCCATCAATTCTAAAAAAGTACATAAAATAGAAATCAAAGGAAAAGGATTTAGTTTTATTATCTTGATCAGCTAATTAATAGGGGGGCTTTTAAATCTTTTTTCCCTTTTGCTCTTGAACGATATTTAGCCAAAATTAGTCACCGACTGATTATGATTTACTTTAAAACTTATTGAAGAAAAAAATCTTTGAACCAAGATTTTAAGGCTTTACCGAGCTCTCAAATCAAAATTTGAGGCAAATCGGTCAATGGGTTCATGAATTATGATGGAAATATAAATAAGTCTTCTCCCTAGGGTGTAAACCCCGTGGATACGTTGTTTCGGCGGTTAGGAGCGCCGACCCCTATTTCATTGAATGATGGGTTGTCCTTTAATAATAATAATAATAATAATAATAATAATAATAATAATAATAATAATAATAATAATAATAATAATAACAAATAGATATTTCTACTTTATATATATATAAACAAACAAGCTTACATACTGACAAACGACTCTCTGAAACTAAAGTTAGTATATTTCAGGCAGTTTTGCATTCTAAAGCAATATTCCGCAGATCAAACTCTCCACCAGAGAGCTTTCATCAAATACATACTTTAGGTAAGAAAGGTAAACCGGAGATCTAAAAAAAAAATTATTGGACTTGAATAGGCAAAAGTTTTTTCAACCTTTTAATACTTTTTACCCAAACAGTAGGAAAACAACAACTTCTTGGAAAATTTTTTTTTCAACAGATTGGGGAGGAAAATGATTTTTCGGGAAAATATACAGACCTGAAAAATTCAGCCCCTATACGAAAAACATTTCATTCGCGGAAAACAAATATTTTACATCGGAAAAAAGTGAATATTTTGTAGGAAGAAAGCTTAAAAACGATGTCTTTAAATGCTCAAATAAATCCATATTTTTTGTCTTTCGTTAGTCAGTCGTCGGTCTTATATTCGCGCATTCGTTTTATTAAATAATTGAGAGCTTTCTCAAATGTCTGGTTTCAATGCTTAGTATTTGCAAAATTCTGCGTGAAATTGCTTAAAATATTTAACAAAATAAATTTAAAACTTTTTGCTTTCAAACACACAATTTTAACTTAATGATGTTTTTGCGAAACAAAATTTATAAAACTCGAGATAAATAGTTCAGATTTCTCCCATAGCAAATTCGGGTAAGTTTACCTGACCCACCTGACCTTCCTCTTTCAGATTTGGAAAACAACTGCAAATTTTTAGCAAAAATATGCCTATTTGCGAGAAAGATATTTGGGGGAAAACTCTATTAAGTTACAGAAGAAAAACCAATAATAGCCAAACATTTCTGCCACTTCTGCGTTTTAGCGGACCTGCCACAAAATACCTGTAAGAACTCTGGAACCCTAAAATAGTTATGAGGCGGATCAGGACTTCCATGTTTGCTAGTGTGCTAATCTTATCAAACTTTTGATATCATAGGGTTGGCATTTCATGCACATTGCAAATCTTGAAATTTAGAAATTATAACATTTATTTTTTGATGAATATTTGAAACTTTGATAGTTATTCTGTGGAAATCTCTGTCAAATGTTTAAGAAACTACAAATATTTTTTGCAATAGCAAAAATTTTACAAAGTAGAATTGTATTTTGTCATATTTATATTTCAATAAGAAAAATAGATATATTTATATCTTTTTTCTTATTGAAAGGAATTGCAAGTATTTGTCACAAACTCTTAATTGTTAAACCAACAATGCTGTAGAACTTAGATATTTCAAACTATGAGTTCTGTCAGATCAAATAATCTAAGTTTGAAATATCAAAGGTTTGCACCATTAAATGCAAGGATAAAGAAGGATATAGAGCGTAGAAAATTTGGGTTCATGGCAAAGACTCAATTCCTTTCAAGCACGGAGTCTCTGATTTTATATTATTTTCAGTTCGGTTTGTTCAGCTGATAATTCACCCTGGAGTTAAGTCCTTAGATCTATCTATTCTTCCAAAGGAATCTTAAACCTGCATTTACTTCAAACTTTACTTTTCTAATTGTTTTAAAGGAAATGTTGTTGTATTTTAGAGTGGCCCGATTCACAATGGTACCATTTAAAACTTTATCTGACCGAATACTATTTAGTTTAACACGTGTTTGATTCTAACAATTGTATCCACTCATTGTTTCTGAGATAGAAAAACAGTTAGAATAACAAATTTAAAAGATAAAATAAGGATTTCTCAGTCATTCTTGATCGGTTTAAGGGTACTGTTGTGAATGGTACATTTTAGATCGAGGATTCGAGATGGAAGCGTCACTAAAAGTTATGTCTACAGTCCCTTTTTTTAGAATTTTTTAAAATCCTCACAATCAATTTAGATTAAAAACTTCAAACCAGGTAAATGTTAAAGGGAGTGTTCGCGAAAAATAAAAGGGGGTATAGGCTTACGGCGAAAAATAATCGCTTTCGATCGCTACTACAGACTATAGTCATCGATTATTTATAGTTGATATTTCATAATATTTTTTATTGGTTTTGTATACAATGCACTTAATTAACGCCGTAAAAGTTGGCCACCAGATATTTCTACTCTCAATGCTTTGAATGATTACTCGAAAAATAATCGATGATTATAGGTCATAAAATCTGAATGATTTGTTTTAACTTAAATTGATTTGTTTACGATCCGAGTCTTAGACGCAACGTTCTTCAGTGTAAGTCGCTATAAACAATTTTCTCCTTATAGACACAACAGATTGAAGTAAGAACACTCATTTTCGCGAACACTCCCTGTAATTATTTTTTCTATCTTCCATTTTTTCAAAGTTAATTATTCAACAAAAAAAAAATTATAAATGCATCTTAATTACGATATGCGTCCTCCATGTTGAAACATATAAAACAAAATTATTTTATACATTAGTAAACATACAGTTTAACAGAAATGTGTCATTAGACATGCATTTTCTGTATGTAAGAATTTTTCATATCATAGACGTTATCGTTCCCCTCCATATTGAAATATTAAAAAAAGTACATTTTCCCAAAATATTTTTCAGTGAAGAATGAAGAATTGAGTAGTTAATTTTTGTGTTGAATGATATCCGGCTAAGCCCCGTTAAAAGTTTTGTCCTGTGGTTTAATGAAACGTTTGACCAGATGCTTCGTGATGCTTTGTATAAGAAACTGGACAGATTGACAGGATTAGAACATCTCAGGTACTAGGTCTAAAAAAATGAGGGAAATCGTAAAAAAAACAAGTTGGGGGCGTTTATTGTAATTTGATTAAATATCCCCAGCGCAGTTTGGAGGCCGGGGGTGAGGATTGAATATCCTCTTGTGTTCCATATGTTTCACTTACACACGTAACCCTCTGTTTAGTTTCACTCCTAGAGATTACTTATATACATGACATGACATTGACACTGGACAAAGAGAAGCTTCGGATTTTGTAAAATAGATTGTATAGATTTATACATTGTTTTGAAGTTTCCGATAATTCATAATAATAAATATGGCGTACACGTCACAAAAATACACAATCTTCACGGTGGTGCAGGTGCATAGCATTCTGACTCCTGGAGGCGGTCTAAGGGTTCCGCGTTGGTTTCCCATTTAGATTTAAACTTGATTTGATACATAGAACCCTAAAATAGTTATGA